AGCTCCTTCACTGTGAAAGCTTTCTTCCAATTATGCTACTTAAACTACTTGGCCCTAGTTGGACAAATTTAATGCATTTTCATACACTTGCAGTACCATATAATATCAGCTCTTTACAAGTTTGATTTCTGCATGACAAGGCAGGCAATTTGAAAACACAATCTAGCAAAACATTATATGTTTATGCTCTCTGTGTTTGAATGATTAAAAATTCCTAACTCACAGTTATCTTATATCCACCATTTTACGCCATTAATCAAATACAAAAAACTTGACATTTCCCAATGCTAAATGTTTTACAAGTAATTTGAAGACATTGTTTTCTTGCTCCAGTAACTCGTGATTGGCAATTTTCACTTGCAGATTACTTTTCTGTCCATCAACTACAAATAATGTGATTATCTAGTAACTGCACAAGGATTTTTTCTCGCAGAAATGCCTAACAACCCCCATTTCCCGCTTCTCATTTGTGATGATTTGCTGCTTTTCTTTGTCTTTAATGATCATAAATGGAACATCTTTTTGGTTGTGTAGGGTCAGACAACTACCTGGAAGTTAGGATGGTGAAATATTATCAGATATTTTAAAGATACACTGAACAGGATCTTCCTAAAAACAATGTATTGACTCAAACAGAAGTAATACCTCTCAATTATCATGTTACCCATTAGACATGTGGGGCAATGTATTTTTCTGCTGAGCCCTCTCCCTGCATTTTCTTATTTTCTTCTTATCTTCTTATTTTCTGTGATTGGGACATTTATATGTGTGTATCAGGTGAGGTTGAGGGCTCTATAAGAAGGCAGCAACCAGGTGCCAAACCATAAGCAGCAGGAAAGGGACACCATGCCAAAAAACACAAATATGAAATGCCAAAGGAATATGAGGTTAGCTTTTACTTTCACTTTCACTGGCAAGTGTGTTTACAAACAGTAAATGACAATCCTGCACAGCGTGCCTTTAATTTTTTATAGACAAATGGATAAATCAAGGAAATAATCAGCAGATTACTAAATAATGAAAATGACTTTTGGTTGAAGCTGCAGATAAATAGCAAAAAATATTGCATTAATCAGAATTTAATCATTATTTGTAACCACACACAGAGATGGCAACTGATATTGCCAGACTCCAGTGTGGATCGTTTATAAGTGTATTTTCCAAAATGGCAGATTGTTCCTTTTGCAGGAAAAAGTGTAGCACAAGAAAATCACAATCCACTGCGAGGAGACAACCCAAACCCTTGGCTCCCAGTGCCCAGCAGCAGTTGCTGTTTGCTGGTGTCTCTCAAGCAAGTGTGGATGTGTTATTGATATTTTCAGGCACCCAACAATACGGTGTCGATTTTAGTTCTTTTCTTTATGAAGTGTGCCTTTAGAGCTAGAAATACTTCTAAACCATGGAGGGGATGTGTACACTCGTCGCTGCCCCTTTACAACGTCCTACAAATAAATGTACCATCTCTTTTATGGTGAATGTCCTCTGTAAAATGGGCTTTTACAATCGCAGTGGTCTGTCGAACAGAAGGTCTCCTGGCTAGAAAGAGCTGTTTTTTTAGGAATAGAGAGCCCCAAAGTGCTTCATCATCCCCTCCCCCTGAAAACAAGGGAGTCAGACACTCCTACTCATCACATGCATCTCTGTTCTCTTTTCCTCACAGACACCTTCATTAGACGCATTGTGGCATCCCTCTTGTTCTTGCCCATTTACTTTTCTTTACCTTAGCCAACACACACACACACTCATACATATACACTCTGTTTCTCAGGCTGAAATGTATGAACACACACTCCCTTCTCTAGTCTATTCAGGCAAAGCTGTAATTGGGTATTTGTTGTGTTTGCAGCACTAGACCTCAGGGTTAGCTTAGCCACCTGTCCATGTGTTAATGGGCATTGTTCCCTCGCGTTACACATTTACATGCACATTACAACTTAGCTGACGTGAACAACTACCAGATTAAGGTTATTTAATTAAAGTTTTTCTGTGTTTTGCTTTAACTTTAATTCAATGCAGCTTGATGCTGATAATTGTTTTTTGAGATAATGACAGGCTGTACATTTTCTTTTGTCAGAAGCAACAAAAAAACACAGACATTTAAGGCTATGTTGGCTAATGGTAGTATGACGTCTTCGCCTAAATTATGACAATGATGGTGATTTTAAATTTGGGGAAAAAAATCTCTTAAAAAGCCATGCCCACAGCATTGGCTTTAGAAATGGCAAATGATCTGTCGGTCAACTTTAGACTGAAATATCCTTGTCATAGTCATAACTGTTGGATGTATTGCCATGGAATTTCATGGGTTAACATTGAGTGAATTGTCTTTAGAACTATGGGATGGATTAGGCTTGGGTGGTATCAAAGTGTTATGGTATACCAAGGTATTAAGAAGTCCTTAAGGTAGTATTTTCAATACCGTTAAATATCCAGATGCTCCTCTTTCTATAAACTGATTTGGAGAAGCTATATTAAGGTGATGTAGTGCAACATATGCACCACCAGAGGTCAGTCTCTACTGGTGGAACACGCAGCTGAGCTAAGAAAGATGATGACTGCGAGTGGCAGGGATAACGTTAGCGTTACAAGTAGGGTTGCAGAGATATACCGATTGTAAGGTATGCTGTGATATAAAGGTTGACGGTTATTACATTGTATACATTTGCTGATCTACGATATTGGAAAAAAATTAATTCCTTTAAGGGTCATTCTGACTGACAAAAATATGAATCCTATAATACTGTGTGAGACCATGAAACTGCAATATTTTCTGAGACGGTTATCGTACTGTGAAAATCTCATACCATTGCAACCCTTGTTACAAGTGAAAAGCAGACCAGCAATGGTAGAAAGAGACGGCACCGAAAACCGGCTTGTATAGCCAGAATTTTCTACATCTACCTTTTTTTAAATTAAGGATTTATTTCGACTAAACCGAACAACAACTTCTATCAACAGCAGCTCAGCTTTAATTATCGTCGATATTATATAGATACCACCCAAGCCTTGGATGGATTGCCATGAAATCTGTCACGGACATTCATGCCCCCCTCAAAACGAACTATAATAACTTATTTTTCATCTAGCATCATCATTCTGAATTTTAATTTGTCCAACACATTGATTTATGACCAGTACCTGCATACTGATGACTTTCCCAACAGCCTCAGCTGCACTTTGTTTAGTGCCAAATAGCAAATGTTATCATGTTGACATACTAACTAAGATGATAAACATTAATCCTGATAAATATCAGCATGTTAATATTGTCATGTGGAGCATTTTAGCATGCTGATATTAGCATTTAGTTCAGAGCGCTGCTGTCTATAAGGACAGTCTCTCAGAGCTGCTAGCACCACTCTTGGTGTTGTTGAATTGCGCTGCTTGTGCAGATCATTGCAGATCAGTGGTGCTGAATTTTAAAACTTTCACAGAGAGCTTGGAAGACATTTTAGGAAAACATCAGGGTTTGCATTTTTAAGGTAATCCAGTTAAGCTGTTTGTTTTGTTAATGTGGCCGTTGTGATAATCTTTGCATTTTGCTTTTAATCTTGTTATAATCAAATGTTTTAATGTGGAGTCCCTGATTAAGGGAGGTGGAGAAATGTGGTGATGAATTGAATGAAGAAGAACGGCAGAAAGGAATGAAAGGTGGGAGGAAGAGTTGCCCTGGAGGTAGGATTTAAATCATAGGAGATACAGTAGATTAATGAGAAATGTACTATGTGATGTGTTCAGCAATAGGTTAATCAATTCCCCTGGCACAGTCTTTTGTTATGAGATATGAATTTGGGTAATGAACCAGCGCTGACACATCACCACTCTTGTTTTTACACACCCACAAACACACACACACAGGCTCATGTGTTTTTGATCATTTTTTGGGCATGCATATGTGTGTTTTTAAGGAATTCATGCGCAACTCAAAGCAACTGCACCCACGGGTTTGTGCTCGCATTCAGTTGTCGAGTATCTCTGGGCGTTTTGACGTCAGTGTTCCTGGATGGAGCGCTGAAATGCTTCCTTGCCTAATTTGAAGTGTCACTTTGTGCCGTTTGGCATCACCATGGTACAGTGTATGCCCAGGAATTGTGACAGTGAAGCTGCAATCATCTGAAGGATTTGTTAACTGGCCATGAAGCACAAGCCCAGGATGGATCGGTCAGACTTAAATTTGTACAATCCAATTCACAAATCTGCAGGAAGCAGAACTGGACAAATGGGTTTTGATCGTCTGTACACGGTGAATGGATGATGTGCCGTGTGCAGAGAGCTTGCCACAACATATTTCACGCAGTCTTATACATGCACACGACAGAGCCGCACTGAAAACCAGAAAGAACCGGCCTGATCGCTGCCGTCACATCCCGGGGTCCCATCTCTTTCAGAGACGGAAGTACAAATCAACACAAGATACACATGAACTCAAATAACACACAGCTCACACACACACAAACACACACACACCTTTCCTCTCTTTATTTATTCCTCAGCTGTTCCGCTCTGTGTTTGTGCAATGCTCTTGTGGTTCTGGCTCATGTGTGTACTGGATCATGCTTACTCATGGCTCGGTGCAAGACTTGGCCTATTTGTACTATATTTTGTTCTCCGTCACTTGCCCGCTCACTGGGTGTGTTGTGCTTTTTTCATTTGGCTGTCTTAATGTTTGCTTTGCTGCTTGTATTGGATGTTGTGTACAGCACATCACATACACACACACTCATACTCATGCCTCACTTTCTCTTGGACATACACGCATCATGCAGGCTTAATATACACAGGAATTAATAAAATATTACCTCAAGGCTGTTTCATCAGCCGGTATTGCCAGAGCAAGAGCTCACGGTAGAGATTTAAAAGTAGAGTCTATTTCACAGTCCACGGACAGCACAGTCCACTTCACACAGTATTCACATAAATAGTTTTACCCCATACACTGGTTTGTATTAGTACAGATATGCATTTATCAGAGGCTAAAGGCACAACAATCACTCACTCAAATGCACCGTCTAAATCACTGTCTCCCCTGCTGCGGTCACTAACCATTTGCTGTTGCACTGGTGCTTGCTTTTTTTAACTCTTTAATTTTTTTTATTTTTTTCCTTTTCCTGTGTTCGTTGTAATCATGACCTCTCGCTGTTTTAATTTCAGATTTGCATATCCACTTCCACTCCTTCCTCATTTGCATACAGCAAGAATGGCGAGCGGGCATCCCACAGACAAATTCAGTTTCATGTATCAACCAGACACGCACAAGAGGTACGGGGCACGCATGCACACACACTCACACTCACACACACACTCACACACACTCACACACACACATGTACATAATTTCCCATGCCCATATTCTTCACGAGCAGGTAAGTTGGAGCGCTTGAGGTCTTTTTGTCTACACTGTGAGACCCCTGGAGACAGATTCCTTATGGGAGATGTAGTATAAACGGCGCTGCTACTGGTAACCTTCACCCCAGCCATGTTTAGTGGCCACTCCTCCGTTCAATCCAACAGTGGAAACCTGGCTGGTAGAGCTCGCCCTGCCTTGCTTGGTGCAGTAGTGAAAATAAGGCAGATGATTAGCTGTATTAAAAGCCAAACAGGAAACCAAAACCAGTATTTCAGTGGATCCATGCTTACTTGTGCTTTTTTGTCAGTACTTGTGCCTTATTTATTCCAAAAAGTCTGTGTTTTTAAATACATACTTAGGTTGAGCCTACTTGAGGGTGAGGATTCACAGGGATTGATTTTTTCTGTTGTTGTTGCATGCTGGCAAAATCCTTCAGCTGGATGTCGCCTTAAGAATCTGAGTTTGGGATTTATGTGCGTGATGAGTGTGTGCGTATGCTTGATATTCGTAACAATTTTCTTTCCAATTTACACGGCTTACGTCTCTCTCCTCCGTTTGTCTTCTGTCTTCTCTTATCCCCCCCTGCCCTCTCTGCCACACTGTCTTTTTCTCTCTCTTTCAGCAAGAACAGGTTATCTTCAGCTATGAATCCAGTCTACAGCCCTGTTCAGCCTGGCACCCCATATGGAAACCCTAAGAACATGGCCTTCACAGGTAAGACTAACACACGCATACACATTCAGTATAGCTGCTGAACAAGTGCCTGAAAAGTTCTGCTAATGGCCTCTTGATGTCCCAAAAGTTTTTAAAAGGACAGTTCGCCCCAAAATCAAAAATACATATTTTTCCTCTTACCCTTTGAGCTATTTATCAATCTAGCTTGTTCTGGTTTGAGTTGCTGAGTGTTGGAGATATCGACTGCAGAGATGTCGGCCTTCTCTCCAATATAATGGAACTAGATGGCACTAGGCTTGAGGTGCTCAAAGCACTAAAAACAACATTTGAAAAACTCAGCAGCAATGTCTCTTACTAGAAATCATGCACGGTTAATCAAGAGAATCCACAGGCTATGTTGTGAGCAGTTTCATAAATGAACTGTCAACCATATCACTGAGCAGACGGAAGTGTGCATCTACTCATGGAGAAGAGGCTAATCACAGCATGAGATGTAAACTTTACTGGCATCCTCCTTAGCTGAACTGTAACATTAGCTAGCTCAGTGGTGCTAGGTGAGCTAGCAGTATATGCATGTTCCTCTCTTTGTGGAGATATGGTTGACAGATGTACGCTAAAACAATCTAAATTGATAAACAGCAGCACAGGTAGAAGGAAAAATTTGTATTTTTGATTTTGGGGTGAACTGACCTCCAACCTCCAGCCTCGATCAGGGGACAGTTAAGACATTGTTGTGGAGTAGGGCCAGAGAAGTTCAGCACTGTACTGGAGTATAGGATGTGTTTCAAAAAAAAAAAAAAAATGTCCTTCATTGGTATCTGAACAACGAATTTACAGTTTGTAGAAACAGGTCATAAAAAGTTTTCAATAAACACCTAATGCCCAAAGTTTGTGACTCAGTTACAGTATGTATGCAGTAATGTAGCATCCACAGAGGTCGTGTATGACAGAAAAGTGATATAATACAAACTAGTAAAACTGTTTTGTAGGAGACGTTAACCTTTCTGGCATTTTTAGTACAAGGGGGGGGGTTGGTGCAGGATAGAAGGCGTTCGATAAGGGTAAAGAGAGGTAGGAGAAGAAGGAGAAGATAGTCACAAAGTGTTGACTGAAGTTCAGGATGTTAATAATCTCTCATTGAAGCAGCAGCAAGGAAGCAGAGTCGACACTCTTTGCAGAGCAGCAGTGTGGACCTGGACCATGACCCTAAAGATGGAGTTGTTCACATCATGTGGCCTTTAATTTAATACAAGCACAGGGTTTGAGTGCAGCAGGTGAAGAACATGTTGAGATAAACTATGAAGATAGAAGAAAACATTTCATGATAAAGCCAGAGCTAGTCGGGAGGAATGGGGTCATACGGTGATACATAATGTGAAAGAATAACAGTTCACTGTTTTCAAGTTAAACAGTGTGGCCAGACATGTTTTCGAGACAAAATCAGAGGAGCGAAAACTCCACAGAGCAGCTCCATATTTTGACATCCAAGTCAGCTGGCTAGATTCGTTACGGCGTACTATAATAAGCCACAAAAAGACGATTTCCTTCGTCTCTTGTGGCATCTTTTTAACCTGATGCAGAAGCGTGATGCTTGGATAATTTGGCCTGCTCCATGATGTCACTTCAGTTCCCTTCTCTCCATCGTTTTGAATCAGCCGTGGGGTTTTTATTTTCCATAACACAGTGCAGAATTTAAACTGCAGGTCGAAGGTGACTGCGGCAATGATGAATGTTTTTGTTCTGTATTCACCACAAGGTTGCACACAGATTTAAAAAGTAGATTTGATACAGTAAAATGAGAGCACTAGCGTAGCTTACACTTATGTGCTTCCACTCGTGTTTAGTTTACCTTTTCGTGTGAACTAAACACATGTGACAAAGTCTGAGGAGCAGCATGTTTGTCGGGGATTATTTCCTGGCAGAGACTTAATTTTTTTCCACATGAGCTTCAGTTAGTAAGCAGTTCATCTCATGTGTGTCCACTGATGCGAAAACACTCACCACAGGCACATTTAAATGATAAAACGGTTCGTGATTTTCCTATCTTCAGATCTGACTGATGGTACATGACCTTTTTAATATAGGTAAATGAGCCCTGGTTTATCTTAACTACACACTCACTGTGACCAGCAGACTTTGGGAATAATATAACAGAGGGCAGCTCTTGTTAAACATTATTGATTGTAGTTTTAATTTATATTCAAACAAATTCATTCGCAGTTTTATTTACAAGCTCACCTTCAGAGATAGGCTGTTATTACCTTAGGTTAGTCCTTAAGCTGGTCTCAATTTTGTAAACTGGGTCTTGGAGAAATAGACTCTGCTCAGATTCTGAGATGTTAAATGTTACTCAGGTCAACTTATGAGATAATTGTGAATTCATCTCTAATTAAAGGATGCAATGTCTGCAAGACGTGATTTAATTCATGCCATTAAGTATTGACATTTCTGTTGGTCAATGAGCAAATACAAATATTTGTGCTGGTAAGGAGCAGCAGTCACAATCGTGCCTCCCTTTAACTTAAGTATCAAGTATCAACTTAAACACCTTGTTAATCACAATAGTTCTGTGTGCTTTATAGGGATGTAACCACATCTGGTGTGTTATTGTATCATTTAATCCAAGGCTTTGAATCAGTGCATATGCTGAATTAAACAAGTCACCAGACATTTAGTTAAATCTTTCGAACCGTGCTGCAGCAGCTGCTGAGCTAATAAGTTTGCATTATTTTCCCGATTGAGAAACCACTCTAAATGAGTCAGACTCCACGTTAAAGACTCAGCTGTCTCATTCACAGGTCTAAAATATTATGCTTTAGGCTGCAACTAATGAGTGTCATGATCAAATAAACAGCTATATTGAATCCTTAGAATAAAGCAATTGATAAATTGTTTGCATTTATACAGTGTTAAAAAAATACATGTTGAAGTTCTGAGTCCAAGGTGTGTTCAAATTGCAAGTTTTGCCCAACCAACAGTCTTAAACGCTGAAGATATTCAAATTATTATTATATAAAACAGGAAAAAAGCAGCAAAATTTCAAATTGGAGAAGCTGTAATTGAGATGCGTTTGGAAACTTTGTTTGATAAATCACTCTTAGCAATTATTTTTGTTGTTGTTTTGTTTGTTGACTAATCGCTCATTCAGCCAGTATTTTCAGTGCTAATCATGCTTTTATGGATCTAAGTACTAAATTAAAAATGAAAATATAATGCATTTTTTTAAGGTGTTGTTGAAAATATCTACAATTATACATCGAATATAACCTGGGATTTTGTGAGTTGCTATACCTGTAACGCTTTCCTCTGTTGTCAGAAGGCGTCATCTTTTTTAGTTTTTATTTAGAGGTCAAATGTTTCTGCGTAATCTATAGTAAGCATGTATTAAACTGAGCTGAGCACCGGTTAGTTAACCATCACAGCCCTCTGTGCTGCTGCAGCATAGATTGATGCAGATATTTAATAAACCTGTTACATCTGTGGCTCAACCTACAACAGCAGACAGCAGCCAAAGCTAGATATAGCAGAGGCTCAGGGCTACAGAACAGATAGTCTGTGAGATTGACTGCCAATAATAGCAAGCAGCGAGCAGCACTTCGCTCACGTACATACGGTCTCTTAACTCTCCTCCTCCTCTCCCTCCCTCTTTGTCTCGCTCTGTCGAACTCGCACCTTTTTATCAGTGAAAGCTTTTTCTCAGGTCAAAATCTGCTTTGTTTGCTCGACGTGTAATTGATGACGCACAAGAGTGTGTGTGTGTGTGGTGTGTGCGTGCCCCCCCTTTGCACGTGTCTGCATGCATTGCTAATGCGTTTCTGAATTTATCTCCTCCCACACCATATTGGCAGGTGTGTCTCGTCTGTATGTAAGACGCATTCAGCCGACTGTGTGATTGGTGCAGACATTTTTTTTAATGAGCGCCATCTGTGCGCATCCCGCTCCAAACCAAATACTGCCCTACCTGTGTGTCGGTGTCTGTGTGTGTGTGAGAGAGACTCTTTGTTGTGTGCATCTGTGGCCCTCTCTGTTTGTTAAGCTATGGTTTCTGATATTTTCTCTCGTCTGTGATGACTTGCAGGGTATCCAGGAGGGTATCCTGCCACGGCTCCCACCTATACACCCAACCTCTATCAAACAGGCAGTCCTGGGTATCCACCAGGTGAGCCCTAACACACGCACACACACAGACACACACACATTTTACTGACTTTGTTAATATTTGTGAATATCTCAGGAGAAATTGCTGGCAGTTTACCTCAATTTTTTGGGTGTTAATTAGTGGGATGTTTCGGATACACACACCACAAAGATGACAGTGAGTGTAGATGATCCACTGAAGCTTTGTGTAAAGGATGTCACACAGACACAGCGATACATTCAGATAATTTCACATCATTGTCACATTTTTTATTATTAAACTTGGAGAATGTGTTTTAATCTGCCTGCCCTGTAATGTGTAGATATGATACTGTTGCCAATTTGTTTCTTTATTTGCACAATACAAAATACAAGCATGTAAAAACCATAGAGCAAAATTGAAAGTTGAGGGGTAAAGACAAAATCATAGTGTGAACAAATGTGCAGGCAGAGCCAAAAAGCTTAAACATCATATTTCATGAGGTAAACGACAATAACGCAACCATCAACTGTGCATATCTGACTCCACAGTACTATTACAGATGCTCTATCAAAATAAAACAGTCTGCAATAAAGCATTTCGTAACAGTTTTTAATAAACTCTGAAATAGTCAACAAAATTAGTAGGATTAAGTTTCAGATTTACCGCCTCAGAAGATGATTATTCCTTCTTTGGTAGCTGTGAATGGTGCCAAGTCTGCTGAAATAATAATTAAAAACAGATGTGTATTTTGTATAAACTGAACAGCCTTCACAAACCAATATTTGTGCCACCAATTTATCTTGCTTTTAGAAATATGTTTATGTTGCTGATGAGTAATCATGGCAATCATTCAGTTCACACTCTGGAAAGCCAGTTGAGTTATGTGTCGGGTAGAAATGAAAGTTAGTTTCTCCATCTTTCACGTTCCTCTGTCCAGCACCTAGTATTTATTGGCGGGATGTGTGTGCTTCTGTAAAACTTTTTGTAAGAAACAGAAGTTAGTTGGCGTTTAGGTTGAGGCTGGGAAAACACTTAATGTGTTGAATAAATTACACACTGATGGAATTTTAATTTCAAGTCAGATGATGTATTACTGCTGCTGCTCTACAGAGCTTCAATTAATCTATGTCGAACATGCATACGCAACCTAAAGCAAATATGGTTTCCCCACATCTTCAGTAATTGTCTGAGTTATTGTGATTATTATTTTGTCCTAATACTTAATTTATGGAGACTTCTAAAGGCAATAAGCAGACAGATACAGTGCCACCCTATCCCGGCCTTATACAGTTGGAAATCAACACAGCTATTACACAAACACACACCGCTATTTAAAAAATAAGAACTTATGATAGAGATAAAAACACACAGTTGCCATTATGCCAGTAGGTAAGTGCTATTATGTGTATCATCATCTCCATGTGATCATCTCCTGATCTCATTGCAAATTATACTTATAACAGTTGTGATCACAAGTTTTATTGTCAATGCCACTATCATCTCACACACCTCAGGGCCATGTCTTTCCTCTTTATGAGCTAGTCTGGTGTCACCAAGTTTTTTTCTCAGTTGGGGAAAGGTGAGTCATAAAAGGTTGCCATATCTTAATAACAATATTCCTGATAGATTATTGCAGATCCTTTCCATATCAAGCACACTAGTAAGTTCACAGAGCCAGCTTTTAAATACAGGTGCTGTGTCTTTGTTCCACAAGCACAGCGTGTTCCTTTTTTTGTAATTGCGATACTGTATTGTGATGCCCTTAGCTGCCAATGAGTTTTCAGTAATAAGCATTTTGTAATGAATCAAAAATTGATGTAACCCCACAATCACTGATGTGTCAAAATGTGTTTCATCTCGGTACACTTGAGCAAACAAGGTTGTCGAGAGCACTGCAGAGGTTGCAGTAATGTGAAGGCAGTATGGATTAAGTGGTGATCTCAGCCTAAAGGGCATTGATGGTGAAGGAGTGGGAAGCTAGCCAGTAACAGCTGCCAGTGGCCTTATAGCAGCAGATACGTGCTCTGCTGGGGCTTGGTGTCTGGTCCCCGTAGCAGATGGGAATAACAGTTGTCTCGGTGCTTCCCAGATATGGTGTATCTGTATAGATATAGATAGTTTAGTGTGGCGGGGTCTTGAACCTTTCAGTATGATCTCACTGGAGATCAAGCTTGTGTACAAAATGAAATAGGTCTAACACGTATTTAGTCGTGACTTCAACAAATAACATCCTGGTAGTCAGGAGTTGAGTTGAATAACTAGGGAAAAAGCTATGCCAGTATGTAAAAACTTAGGCCACAGACAAATTGTCACCTGTCTGTAGTGTCTCCAAAAATCCATTTATAGGAAGTACTTTTTTGACTGTACACTTATTCGCTTTATGTGAATTTGCATGAGGCAGGCATCGGATTTTAAGATCTTAAGTTATTAAGTTCGTTTTAATGTATACATACAGGTTTATACTAGGCTAACACCCAACTCAGAATTATGTCAGTTGAATCAGATTTGGTTATCTGATTGTTTGTCCCATTTTTTGCGTTACTGTTTGATCATTTGAACAGGAATTGGAGGGATTTTCAGGGTGACAGTGACGTACATGTAATCTGCCATTTTTAGTTACTTTATTCATCTTGATGTAGCAATTTTATTTTATTTTATCCTTTATTTTTCTATTGTTATTTTTTTTCTCTCTCTCTCTCTTTTATCTTATTCTATTTAATGTCTTTTTGTTTTTGTCTTGTGCTGCTGTGTTATTTGAATTTCCCCTCTGGGGGATCAGTAAAGTATATCTTATCTTATCTTCAGCCAAGTTAGCCCTCCAACTAATGTATGCTAATTATGATAACAACAGATCAGAAATATGCACCAACATTCTTGCCGACGCTAGATGTCAAACAAAAGCCAGAGATTTCATCATGTTAAGTTTCTGTGAGCTGTAAATTTGCCACATCTTGCCGGCACCAGAAAGCAGCATGAATGTGAGGAACGCTCACTCTGCAGCTAAAGATTAGGACTGAAACGTCCCCAGAAGTACACTACACATTGGCTGTCAGAAAAAAATCCCACTGCTGGACTTGAACAATGGCAGTTGACTGAGGGGTCTCTTGACTGATTATTTGAATGTTAGACTTTCAGGGAGGAGCCCTAGTTTATATATCGTCACAGAAACATCAGATACACAAGTCATAATAATAGAAACATGCAGTCAGCGAGACAAAAAAGGAAACCACTATAATATTGGCAGTTGCTAAGTCAATAAGATGTTTTTTCAGTATGATCTTGTAGAAAAGCAATAAAACTCATGACTTTAAAGATATTTGGGTGTTTCCATATAAAGGGATGGGATGGTAAATTGGTAATGAATGAAAAGAACAAAGTCCTTTGAAGAACTGGTGTAATATATAATCGATAGAAAGCTTGAAGTAGATTATCAGCTATAGGAAAACACATTTTGAAAACATTCAGATACAATTCTCTGAGCAGGGGTACAAATACCTTGCTACTTGAATTGTTTCCTGTCCTCCTGAATTTTAAGTACCTTACAGAGGCAGGATGGGTTTGTAGATTTCATCTGTGCTGCGTTTGAAGCCCCCCTGTCGTCCCCTCCCCCCCAGTTGGGCTTTATCTTTTGGAAGTCTAACAAAATATCAGGTATGCTTTGGCAAAGCTCGCCCAGTCTCATTCCAACAAAAGAACCTAATTACCGAGGCTGTTGTTTAAATCAGCAGTGGCGATGTTTAACTGCAAATGTTTTCCTGTGCATTCTGCCGTGCATGGATGTATGATGAAATCAAAGTCTGTGGGTTTTGTGTCCCAGACAACCATCAACCTCCAGACAAACCAGCTCTGCTCTGATTAGAAATGTGTCTTGGTCAATGTCATTATTTCCTAAGACCATTGAATAGACAAACTGTTTTCTATCAGCAGGGCTTTTGTGTAATTGTCACACACCATTGTCCTCTAATGCCCTGCATGCATGTGTGTGAGGGTATGCACACACACTTTTAGACACACATAGCAGCTCCAGCATCTCTTTGTTCCCTTGTCCTTGTGTGAGAGAAGCGCTTTCATAAGCTCTGCAGCAGCAACTAGCTAGTAGCATGTTTGACCTTCAGGCTCCTCCGAGTGGCGGCTCAGAGTTACTGCACCCCACAGAGCAGAGCCCCCGTGAACAGCAGACATTAATGCAGCGGTCTGAACCAGATGTCTTCACTGTCCTACAGTAGACCTCGTGCTTTTCAACCTTTTGATGTAATGTCAGTTAAATGGTGGTTAAATCATGTATGCACCACTAAGACTGGTAGGTTGCTTGAGTGTATGTGGTCCCTTAAAAGGTGAATGTACTCCATATACATCAACTATAGATCTATCTCTTTAACAGTAAACACTGCCAAAATTCTGTCTTCAAAGATCATGGTGAGCCCGGCTAAATGAGGCTTTTTGAGGCACACAAACACTTGGCTGTGTTGCTTTTAGACTTAAGCGCCATTAAAAGACGGCACTAGTCCCCCATCTGGTGGATTTTGTAGGAAATGCAAAGGACAAAATGTTTTAATCAGGCTGCAACTAATGATTTGTATTGTTTGGTCCATAGTACATCAGAAGACAGTGAAAAATGCATTTTAATTCCAGAAAGTAAATGTTGTAGAGGTCAAGGTGACAGCATCATATGTCTTATGAGTCTTAACTGATCAGCAACAATCCAAACACCCAACATATTCTATTTTGCTATAATGAAAGACAAGTAAAAGCAGCCTACAGTCCCAATTGAGAAGCTGGAACTCTCAAATGTTGGGTATTTTTGCTTGAAAAATTACTTAAACCATTAATAAATGATCAAAATGGTGGCAGATTAATCAGCTACGGTTGAAAGTTTAAATAAATTGATAAAAGAGGGATGTATAGAGACACACAGCTAATGTAAATGAGTTTAGCTTTTTGGTTTCTACTGGTCTGCATCCAATCCTGATGTTGTCATAAAACACATCTTCCTTGTACTTAAAGACAGCAAATGCCTACCACACACTAGCAGACTTTAAAAACACCAGCGTTGAAGAGACTGCACTTGTTGGTTGCTGACAGTGTTCATGTCATTGAACTTGAACATTTGCATGAGCAAAGACTAAAAGTTTTGTCATAGTAAATGTGATTTGATTTTATCAGAATTACAACACAAGAAGAAGACCGACTTAAGACAGCTAGGACTGAGGTTGAAGACCCAAACTCTCATGATTATATTTCAATATTGGAAGCTTGTCTGTAACTGTGAAATCGTCTGGAAAAATCATTTGCGTTAAACCCTGAATTGGAGCATTTAGATTATATGTTTTCATGGGTGTGTATTTATGACATTAAACTGATGTTCAGTTCAGAGTTGCTTTTTCAAATGGTGGTAACATGGTGAATTGTAATAACCTAAAGCTGCTTTCATCATATTTTTTTATTAACAATAGCTCGCATCACTACTTGTATGTGAGAGGGCTCGATTGTAGTGACAAACTCACTGAGAATTATCAGCCATCTCTCAGTGATAAGAAAATGATTTATAAAGTGGGTTACTCTAGTGTAATGTGTTCTAAATTTTTCTCTTTCTGTTTCTCTTTTTGTCTTCTGCCTGTTTTCAGGATATACTTCAGCAGGCACCCCGTACAAAGTGCCCCCCACTCAGTCAAATGGGGCGCCCCCTCCCTACACCCCGACTCCCACTCCATACCCGACAGCCATGTACCCCATCCGCAGTGCCTACCCTCAGCAGAACATATACGCACAGGTAAGGACGCTGAATTACAGTTACAGTCATACATTACCTTGGAGGCAGAGTCTGAACTCTGCGACTGAAAAATGTTTATCAGATTTGTCAGGTCGCACCTGTTTGGTTGACAGAGTCATTTAACTGAGTCACTTTAATGAAGTTGCGCCCATTGTATGTGATTAGGTGATTACAGTTTACAGCTTATTAGTAGAATTAGGTGAAACAGTTTTACAAATGTGACAGAAGCGGAACTCACAAATAAAATGGGGACCTAAAAGTCAATTTAGAGAAAAACCAAACCACAGAAAACCCTGGTGTTTGAGCAAATTACATTGACAGCAGATTAAAAAGCAGTGGCCTTGCTTGAGATACAGTTCTGCATGACAAGTCAACAAAGTCATCATTTTTTTCTTGTGTAATTTGGTCTTTTTAATGAATAAATGGATGTTTCTTATCCCTGCAGTAGAAAATGACTCGTACCTTCTCCTTAGACTTCCTTCAAATATAATTAACATTTAAATGCTATAAATAAGCTTTATATATCATACACAAACACACACCCTCAGCCTCACCACCCTGTCCTCTGTCCGCCCTGACAGGGGGCGTACTATACCCAGCCAGTGTATGCGGCTCAGCCACATGTGATCCATCACACCACCGTGGTGCAGCCTAACAGCATCCCCTCCACAGCCCTCTACCCTGCCCCTGTCCCTGTACCTGCCCCTCGCAACAACGGCATGGCTGCCATGGGGATGGTAGCTGGGACAACCATGGCCATGAGTGCAGGTAAGACCAGAACCACTGACATGACTCTCTGGCTAAAGACATTCACATCTTGACTATTCTCTGCTGTAATGTAATGTGTGATTAGAAATCATTTATTCATGCCAGAGGTGGTCTCTCACACTTGCACAGACATGTTTTTCTAATGTTGCTCACTGAATGTGTGTAAAAATGCTTCATTGAGAGTTCCCTTTCATGCTCTGCAGGGGTCAGGTCTGTATATCCTAAAACAGCAGTGTATAAATTGGACAGTAAATTTATTACTGAACAGAAAATCATCCGGCAGTGGTTTTGATCATTGATCAGTGGTAATTCTTTTTAATTTAATTAATTTCACATGTGACAGTTTGTAGGTTTTCTTCATCTAATGTGACAGTAAGGTGAATATGTTTTTAGTGTCGGTCTGCTGATAGAACAAAACAAGACATTTTAAGCTGTTATCATGGGCTTTGGTGACTTGTGAGTTTGTGCCATTTGTTTAAATTATGTAGCCCAAAATCAAATTATTATTTAACTTCTTGAAAAGCAAATTAATTGAGAAAATAATTGTTAGATTGATCAACAAAAGTAATGCTTAGTTGCAGCTATAGTTTGAATTGATTCTTACATTTATTTAGTTACTTAGTCGGCTTCCCTCAGGGTTAATTTTATATACAAGGCAGAGGTCACATTGACTAAAGTAATTCACACTCCTGTCCAGTTAGTGGCATATTAATTAGCGATTAGTCTTTTCTTATATCTCAGTCATATGACCTGGTCCTCTAGCTGGCTTTAGCCAAATGGGTTAATGTCATCTCTTCGCTTTAGCTGTTGTATTTGAAGGCTATATATATAATTGCATACCAATACAAAATATCACAGCAGCTGAGTGTCCAAAGTTTCTTTAAGAAGAACAATAATTGTGATGGCATCGATAACAAGGTGAAAAAAGCAGGGCCGGTCAGTTTTACATCTGCTCGCCTAGCACTAGCTCACACAGCAACAGAAGCTAACATCCAAAACAGACGCATTAAACAGTCTAAGGCCTCACTCACACTGACGCAGCAGTCTCATAGTAAAGAGAGCAAGAGCGGGCTAAGGATGGGTTGCGCGAATCAATAATAAAGCGAGCAGCTTTACATGAAATAAGATGATACCCATTTAAATAAGTAATTAAAGAAATCATGTTCATGGTCATTGTCATCACCACCAACACATCCATGACCGAAGTATCAAACATTCACTGTTGATAAATGTATCTGTGTTAAAAAAAAAATAGATAAAAAAAAGAGGGATTGATGCAGAGAAAGATGAAGGACAAGCAGCCGGTAATAGGCTACTGATAATGTTCATCAGCCAGCAGCAGCTAAAATTAAAATAAGGGGTAATAATAGGTGATGGTGCAGTTGTACGACCTGTCTGTCAAAATGACAGACAAGGAGAAAGCCTAATGTAACGTCTGTGTCAAGGGAGGTAGATACATGTTTGTTTGTTTGTTTGTTTGTTTTTTTATTTAGAGCTGTAAAATATAACAAAAAGCTGTCGACACATTGACGTGTTGATATAACATGAAAGTCATGTGCAATGATGGCAGCTATAGCAAAAAAAACCGAGCCTTTAAAGCTGTTCAGCAGATGGATTCAAAAACGGGTAAAGCTCATTAAGGGTGTTGTTAATTTCCTTTAGGGACCCTGCTGACAACGCCCCAGCACCCCCAGATTGGAGGACACCCAGTTACTGTGCCAACCTACAGGCCCCAAGGGACACCTGGGTACAGCTACGTACCGCCTCACTGGTAGAGCCCACCCATCATGTGAGTGTCTGCCCACCTGCTGTTAGCTTTCTCCTCTTTTAGATGTTTCTCACCACCCCATCTGTTTCCTCCACCCTCTTCCCTCCTCCTCCTCTCTTCCTTTTCACTCCCTTTTTTTGTCTCTCTCTGACTTGAACAAACTCTCTTGCCTCACATTTCTTTTCCCCTCTTTTCCTCGGAGCCTTAAATCCGTCACCAGTGTGTACTTCTGCTCTTCTTTCCCACCAGATCTGGAGTTCACCATCGTATGCAACTGCTCAAATCTTACACGGGCTCCCACTGGTAACCATGGGAACCCGGCACCTGTCTGCAAGAACAAAACTAAAGTGCAACAGCCACTTTACTATTATTGTTATTGTTAGTATGCGACATTCTCTAACGTTTTTACAAAAGCTGCTTTTATTTTTTTTTTTTTTTTTTTTTTTTTTTCTCTCTGTTCATTTGCCAACCAGTCATTACCTTATTTTGTATGGCTCTTTGATTTTTATTATTTGATTTCCTCATTTTTCTCTTGAAGTGTCTGTCATTGGAACTCCAGAAGGACTCTTGACCAATCACGGGTGTCAGTTGCTCCTGTTTCTGTGTTGTGCTGGTGTATGTGTGGTCCTTCCTGCTGCTGCTCAGTTGGCTGGAAAATATCGGGCACTTATTCCTCATCATCATCATCTCCGTCAGTCACTACAAAGACTTACTGACTTATGCTGCCAAATTTCTTACAACTAGATATCAGCACAGGGTTTTAACATAATTAGCGTTTTAATTTTTGCAGGTTTTTTTTTTTTTTTTTTTTTTTTTTGGATATTCTTTCTTTAAACCGTACTCAACTGAATTCCTTTTTCTCTGTAGACTTTTTCTTTCTTACCTTTGTTCTTCCTTCCTCTTTATCCCTTTTTTTTTATCCGCTTTGTTTCATTTTCAGTTGAATCTCAGTCGTCTTCCAGCCACGTAGCTATCTGTCCGGCAGTAGTCAGTCCATCATTCCTGTTGTTATGTCTCCGTGTGGGTGCTTTGTTGCGATGAGCAGAGCACTTACTGACCATTACCTATCCTGCTGCGTGTCCCACTGTGTCCGCATTCGCATAACACACACTATGAAAACGTCGCCTACTTTATGCTACATACTATGCAGGCTAGTATGTTGTGACACTATCGGAATCTTAAACTTAGCGTAGGTCAATGCATTTTAAAAAATGTAAGGATATTTATAATTATCAGCATGGGCAGTCGTGCACACTCTATCTCTCACACACACACACACACACACACACACATATAGGGGCTCCTGTATGTGTTGGAAAACATGATCACTTAGTGGCACTTACTGTAAAATACTCCCAGTTCAAACACACAAACACACACTACATGGATTTCTCGGGGTGTGCATGGCAGATAGCAGAAAAGGAGTTTAAAGGGATTGTGTTGGCGTAGAAAGAGGAGAGCAGGATAAGACGGAGAGAGCAGACAACAAGAAAGGAGGAGGAGATCACGTATTCACAGTCGGGTCGTTTCATTTCAAGGTGCAAGACCTTTGAATTCGTGACATCTCACCTGCACTGATACTCTACTTTCACACTACATGTGTCGAAATTTATTCCTTGTTATGAATATATCATCTCCTCCTCCCTTCTTCTTCTTCTTCCAGATGAGGACTTTGTAACCAAACAAATAGAAACCCAGACTCTTGAGTATTAATGATGGACCAGTCAAATAAATCTGCGCTGATAGATAGATGGATGGATAGGATTCGATCCGCCGGATCATTCCACTTCTGTGAGTGCTGAAAAAAGACCAAACCAGTGACATGGGAGGTTGTGCACTACATTTAGGAAGAAATTGTGTCCAATCAGATGACTGTAATGTGTTTACACCTGGTCCATGTCATAGCGCTGATAGGTTGTTCTCTGAATTTGGGTCAAAGTTTTAACTTTGTGGGTATTATCTTGTGAATCGCAGGAGAATTGTCAAGAAAAAGTGCTAGTTTTAGTATTCATGGCTACAGCAGTGTGAGAATATTAAGACAATTTTAGCAAGAGTGCGAAGCAGCGATGATGCAGTGCCACTCATAGGCCTTTTCCACCAAGCTAACACTGGTTCTTGGAGTGGTTCTGTTCGAGATTCTTGGACCTTGGTGCTATCTGCGTCATCAACGAAGGGCGTTGCACAAAGCAAAACGGAAGTAAAGATAAGTAGCAAGATGGCAGATTGCATAGATTACTGGGAGTTTTTAATTACAGATTTTATTATTCAGAAAAACAAGCATGGACCAACTGTTAATAATAAGAAGGTGTAGAGGACTCATCTGTGCTTCTCTTTCCAACTTGTAGAATATGACATGCTGACTGATTTCGTCACGGTTAGTACTTCAAGTTGGGGAAAACCTGCAATTTCTTTCTTTGGTTTCAGCTGTGAACCAACTTTGGGGGTTCAAAATTGGTTGATTTTTGGTTGAAATAGCCCGTAAGGTTCAGAATTATTTGGCAGGAACTGGAACAGAACCAGCTCCATGTTGGTGGAAAAAGGCGTTCAGTCAGTTAGTTTTAAACCGGTTCAGTCCAGTTGGCTTGTTACACTTTTAATAGTTGTTTCTGAAAAAGATTAATCCATTTCTTCAGTTTTTTTTGGTAACTATACACATATCTGCTTTTACAGACTTCATTTTAACACAATTCCATTTAAAAAATCCAGCATTAACCTTGATTTTAAGAGTATAGTCATCAGATGAGGATAATATCTGAGCCAATGAGACATGGACCATATACAGCCATTTTCTGTTGCCTTTTTAAGCTTCTACGTGTAAAGGCATTTATGTGCAAAGGCAGTATGATGACCCATCGTAATCAAACACTACAAACATACCAAGTAGTAGTGGTGGTGGGGTTTAATATTTAGGTGAAGCCTGCGACATTTTTTCAGGATTTACACACACAAGAAAGAATCAAATCACAATTTCATAATCTGTAGAGTAGGCTACAGATTTGTAAAAAAGAAAAGAAAAAAAAAAGCATTTACTGCGCGGGTATGTAGATGAAGTGGTTTGATATTGCAATAAAATAAGAGGGAAGCCTCCAACTGTTAACATACAGTAATTATTTTATCAGCGTTTTGAATTGATTTTTAAAAAAAGATGCTTATTGTTGTAATCTCTAAATATGGATTACAGGCTCTGTATGCCGTTCAATAATTATTACTGCTAAGAAGAGAAGTAGAACATATCAAAAATTTGGGTATTGAATAACTTTGTGAGGAAATATTGCACAACATAAGACAAAAAAAAACAACAAAAAAACTTGATGACTATAATTTAATGCTTAGTAACAGGTACCTAGGCTTTGTAGTGCTGGAGGGAGGAAGAAGCAATTTATATTGTAATTAAAAATAAAAACAATAAGGTTGAGTGTTTGAGGTCTTCTTAGTCCAGATGTTTGTACACTAGTAGGTTAATTCTCAAGAAAATATTACATAACGCCGCTGTCGGATGAAAACCGTCGGTCTTTGAGCCTTATTTTTGAAAGGACCCTTGTATTTTAAAACGCATCGCGCGGATGTTCTCGGGTCACAAAGTGTCGCCACCGTCTAAGGATCTTGTACATTTTAATCCAAGCCAGTGAAAAGAAAACAGGATATGGGTTTTCTTGCGACAGCAGTAACGTTACTTGTCATTAGGATTTATTTAACCAACCACTACTTCTGTCAGTATTTCTCAATTTTTTTGTTTTCTTCTTTCCCTCTGGTCAATTGAGCATAATGGGTATGCATAATATTCAGGTGTATTTCACTATAGCATTGGATCTCTAAGTTAAAAAAAATGCAGTATATTTATACAGCAAGTGGTACAGTAATGTATTTCTAGCTAAGCATGGTTGCATCAGTGTGGCAGCTACTGTTTGTGCTTTTAATATTTTTATTTTTTTTATTTTTTTTTTTAAACCTCTTCTGCATCTCTGTTATCTACATATTTGTCGCTGAGGAGGGGAGAAGTTAAGACAAGGGTCTGTCGGTAAAGAAATTCTCGTCACCAAATCCCACATTTTAAGTGTTGCCTAAATTCACAGACCTGGAGGAAGGATTTAAGACAGAACCGAAATGGATAGCACTGACAGGAAGAGGTTACCGTCATGATTTGGGAGGCCATCTTTCCTGTCTGTTTCTGTTCTGCCGGTGCAAAGATACATTGAGTAACGAATGAAAACCCTCAGCCTCCACGCCCCTCTGTTCTGTGCCATATTTGACCAACAGTTGTTAAGTAACTATTAGTTTCTTCTCCTAAGTAACTGGTGAATTCTGAGTCCTTGTTCTGTCTAGCTTTTTGTGGATCTGTGTTTTCCTATTGCTGTCCTGTTCTCACAAACTGTTGTTGATGCATTATTGCCTGTCTCACTTTTATCTTCCCTGACTGTATCCTATATTATTTTCACTTCAGAAGCCATTTTGCATCCCTCAAAGCCCATTCAAACATTCAGTTTTTATCACATTCGGGGATGCAAAATGACATCACACGATCACATGTTCTGCTCCCTCTTATGTCCACTTCTTTGAACCCTCTGCTCTCACATGCTTTTCGGTCTTGATGTGCTTTCAGTCTGACCTTTGCAACCTTCACCACCCTCGTATCAGTAGCAATCATATTGAACTATGATAGTCATGAAATTGGTGTCACTTATTGCGATAATCTATTGTAATTTTTGTTTTGGTATTTGTGAAAGCTCCACTGAACCTTTTTAAACACTAGATGTCACCAGTGACAAAGTCTGGCAGTGGCATCACCACAGTGTAAAATGATAAAAAAAGAAATCACAATTGGATGTCACAGTTTTAAGCACTGAGATTTTCTTTATCCAAATTTAATGTTCTTTTTTTCCAGACGTTTACAGAAATGCCATTTTAGATGCCAAATAAGGTTTCATTGTTCTCACAGGAGTGGATCATTTTAAGTTTAATAGGAGAGAGTTTTTCTTTTCTCACGCTGTGGACTAGTGTTCATGTTTCAATGTGGAGGCACTCCCACACAGCAGGTTTGTTTTACAGAGTGGTGAAACTGCTTTCTCATTTCACTCCATTCCTCACCTCTCATTTATTTAAATTTGCACTTAATTGAAAATGGACAGTAGGACAAATTTTCCTCCACCGTTCTGTCTGCCAAACGTCGCAAGGTGGTTTTTCTCGAGTATATTATAACCTTGCGCCTCTTCACTTTGACAGTGAAAACGTGACCAGAACCATTCACAACGCCTCTCCTCTCCTTCCATCTTCCCTCTCCCCTCTTCTTTTTTTGCCTTGCAGTTGCTAAGTCTTAGTTTTTTTTTCCATGAGTATAAATTAAAACACTACTATCACAGTGAATAGTAGGCTCTTAAATGTCTTTGATGTTCTGCTGCAGCTTTTTAATTTCAATTTGTCAGATATCTTAGTTTAATTTGACACTAAATGTGATGCAAAAAGTGGAAATTCCTTGTCTTCCAAAAAAAAAGCATACTCGTATCCCACCCTGGATCGAGTATTAGGAACAACCCATCTTTGGAAGTTTTAGTTTGGTACCCAGTTTGCACATGCTATGGTATATCTGTTACCGTAAGGTTGTGTTTGAAACTGAAGCCCAACGTCTGTTCAGCGTTGAGAGAAGTGAACTGTATGTTAGCTATTTGGTCCAGAGTGAAGGACCAGCGTCAGGCTTGTGATATGAAGTGTAAATCTGTTTTTTATTTTTTGTTTTTGGTTTTTATTTTTATTTTTTTTTATGTTTTTCTTTTTTTGTTGTTGAGGGTTTTTTTTAAGATCAGTTAGTGATCTAGTACTATAACTAAGCCAAGTTTGTAATTGTATATTTACTGTAAAATGTAGAACATTGAATAACTATTAAAATTTTCCTATAAAAGGAAGATTGTGTTGCGTGATGTTTTTATACAGAATTGCATTTTTTTCCTGTGTGGGGTAAATCTGGTTTTAAAAAAATGAACAAATGTCATTAAACGTACCCTCTCGGATTCATCGCATTATACTGAGAGAAAACAAAGAGATTTACCTTATCTGCTTATGTGAAATATGTGTCACATTTTCCAAAGATGATGAACCTGGCCATTTTGCATTACGAACAGTGGAGTAGCAGATAAATCAGAGCTTCATCCATTAACACAGAACATATCTCTGCAACACATCTCAAGTCACAAATCAAGAAAGATTTATTGTATCAAAATAAAATTTTACACTTAAATTGGATTCACAGATATTCCCATAAAGATGTACAGCTTAATTATTATTTGTAAATTTGAATTTTCTTGCTAAGGAGGCTATACTTAAAGGAAGCTTGGCAATGGACTAGAATATTAGCAAGTGAGCTTGCTAACTAAGAAGGCTATGCTAATGAGTAAGCTTGCCAATAGGCTAGAATATAAGTGAGTTAGCTTGCTAACTAGCAGGGCTATGCTAACATGTAAGGCTAGTTAGTGAGTTAGCTTGTTGACTAGGGAGGCTATGCTAACGACTAAGCTTGCCTGTAGACTAGAATATTAGCAAGTGAGCTTGCTAACTAAGAAGGCTATGCTAATGAGTAAGCTTGCCAATAGGCTAGAATATTAGCGAGTTAGCTTGCTATCTAGGAGGGCTATGCTAACATGTAAGCTTGCCAATAGGCTAGTAAGCAAGTTAGCTTGCTAACTAGGAGGGCTATGCTAACATGTAAGCTTGCCAATAGGCTAGAATATTGTTCACTAACAAAGAGTGTGGATAATATAATTTTTCAGTTGCAAATACCTGCAATTAACACATTTTCCTCCTTTTTACAGCCTATCAAAAACTATTACTTTTTATGGCCTATTGGCAAGGTTACTCGTTAGCATAACCTTCCTAGTTAGCAAACTAACTCAGTAATATTCTAGGGCAAGCTCACTTGGTAGTGTAGCCAACCTACTAAGTAGCTTATAAGGTTATTGTTCAATGTTGCCAGGGATTTTCTTCAGTTGTACTAACTTCAATTTGGAAAATTAGCTTAGCTCTGATCAGGTTGCCCGTGGAGTTGTTTTTAGAACAATGTACTTGTGAAGGCAGTGAGGAAGAAGACAGCAAGTGTATGTAACAATGCATAATTTAAAATATTGGTTTCACAGATTTATGATTCATGTTTTACGAGATACATTGAATGGAAACACAACTTTGTTTGTTTACCAGAAAACTCCACAGGGTATATCTAAGCAGACAGTGGGGTCATGACCCCCTTATAGGCCACTGCAAATAAAGGGAGAGATGCAAAAATGTACTAAACTTTAACTACTAACAAAACAAATTAAACTGCAGAAGATGTTGGTGGGGAAAAACAATGAACCAGAGGCTGTACCCAGGATTTTACATTTACTGACCTCATGAGTCCATTTTACTTATCTACTGATTTTGTCAGCCGAAACATAGTTCAATCAGGAGAGACTCATTTTTATAGTGAAAAGAATATTTATGAACATGTGCACACCCACTCGGGGGTCTAGACACTGGTGGTAGTAGAGGTGGTGAAGATGAGATGAGAAGAAAATGGAGATGTGAAAATGATCTGGATGAGTAGAGGAATGAATCTTTGTTGAGCTCGTCCTGGACTCTGGATACGATGGCTGGAGGTGAGCCTGGAGGGTGCGACAATTTTGCCTAAAATGACAGCTGACAGCAGCAGAGGAGAGAGCAGGTTTAAAATTTTGCAGTGGCATCCTGATTGGCTGATAGAGACTGTGGCAAAGTTTGGATAACTAGAAGAGTAAACACCCCTAGTCAACTGATTAGAGGAAGCAGTGGGAGTGGGAGGAAGAGAATTGTGAATGGATGAGCACAGCTGAACTTACCCTGAGTTTCAATTCTGTAAAAATACAGAGATCAGTCTTAACTTGCCCACCATGTGTAAGTCTAACTGTAGATCATAATCTCTCCGCAGGTTGCCAAAAAAAAATGTGTCCAAGAAGAAAAGTATCAAAGACATGACTTCAGTGCAGTGGTGCCCCCAGAATTTTTTCAAAGGGGAGACCAGATGGAGCCACTGAAAATCACAACCCCCCAAAAGAGAATGGTTTTACATGTGGTGTCCACAGACAGTTGCTCTCTCGTTATCCTTCCTGACTGATTCTTCTCCAGTTTTGTTGTTGTTCTGCTAGTGTCCTTGTCACTACTGGTAGCATGAGGCGGTACCTGCAGCCCAGTCCAGGTAGTCCAGCTCCTCCAGGATGGCACAACTATATGTTCAGTCATAAGAAGATTTGCTGTGTCTCCCAGCACAGTCTCAAGAGCATGGAGGAGATACCAGAAGACCAGTTGCCATCAAAGGAGCGCTGGACAGGGCCATAAAAACGGCATCAACCCAGCAGCTGGACCGGTATCTGCTCTTTTGTGCAAGGAGGAACAGGAGGAGCACTGCCAGAGCCCTACAAAATTACCTCCAGCAGGCTACTGGTGTGCATGTTTCTGACCAAACTGTCAGAAACAGACTCCATGAGGGTAGCATGAGGGCCCGACGTCCTCTAGTGGGACCTGTGCTCACAGCTCAGCACCGTGCAGCTCGATTGGCATTCACCAGAGAACACCAGAATTGGCAGGTTCATCTTTGGCGCCCCGTTCTCTTCACAGATGAGAGCAGGTTCACACTGAGCACATGTGACAGGCAGAACAAGTCTGAAGACGCTGTGGTGAGCGTTATGCTGCCTGTAACATCATCCAGCATGACGTGTTTGGGGGGGGGGGGGGGGGGGGGGGGGTGGGGGGGGGGGGGGGGGGGGGGGGGGGGGGGGGGGGGGGGGGGGGGGGGGGGGGGGGGGGGGGGGGGGGTCAGTGATGGTCTGGGTAGGCATATCCTTGGATGGTTGCACAGAACTCCATGTCATAGCCAACAGTACCCTGACTGCTGTTAGGTACCATGATGAAATCCTGGTGTCAGACCTAATGCTGGTGCAGTGGGCCCTGGGTTCCTCCTGTTGCAGGACAATGCTTGTCCTCATGTGGCCAGAGTGTGCAGGCAGTTCCTGGATGATAAAGGCATTGATGCCATTGACTGGCCCTCTTGTTCCCCTGACATAAATCCAACCGAGCACCTATGGGACATTGTGTATCGGTGCATCTGACGCTGCAAAGTACCGCCACACCCTGTCCAGGAGCTCACTGATGCATTGATACAGGTCTGGGAGGAGATCCCCCAGGACACCATCCGCTGACTCATCAGGAGCATGTCCAGACATTGTTGGGCACATGGAGAGCATACTGCTGAGTCACATTATGAGTTACTGTGATAAAATTCTTGCAGGTTGGGTCAGCCTGTGATTTCAATTATTCACTTTTATTTTTTTGGGGGGGCAGCATTTTAGCCTTTAATCGATAGGACAGACAAACGTGGAGGGGGGGGGGAGGAGTGACACGCAGCAAAGGGCCACAGGCTGGAATCGAACCCGGGCCACTGCGGCAACAGCCTTGTACATGGGGCGCCTGCTCTACCACTAAGCCACCAACGCCCCTATTCACTTTCATTTTTGGTGTGATTTTGAATCCAGAACTCAGCGAAAACAGTCATGTCAGGCTGCAGTTATTTAGGGGGGCAGCGATTGTTTCACTGTTCCATTGCTTCAGTGTCCTCAGTGGAGAAAGTCTCAGATAGACGGTGAGGTGACAGCTTAGCTGAAAGCTCTGGGCCCAGATGAGTGAACTGTTAATAGTGAACTGTAAATATTAGAGTGTATATTCCCTATAATGGCACCTAAACTCTGCCGTTTCTGCTTCTCTTTGTCTCATTTCAGGAACAGGTTGATGTAAGGACACGGACGAGCTTTGTGCTACTTTTTTAAAAGTGCTGTCTGCGTTCAAATAGAAGAACCACAAAGCATTATTTCCTTTGTGGTTGAAAAAGACTGACAGCAAAGGACACTCACTCTTTCACTTCTTCCTACATCCATCACCAGACATCCGACCGGGTTGTGCAATACCACCACTCATAAACGCACTAATGAACAAACATTAACACACCTCTTTTATGCACAGTGCCCCACCAAGCACACACAGGGCCTCATATCTTTATTGTTGACAATAAATGATTGCTGGTACGACGGAGGTTAGAAGATTCAGCCTGTTTTGATAGTAATCAAAGAAACACTAATAAGACTTTAAATATATTAAACTTTTGTTGGTGTCTCAAGAAGTATTTGCAGTCAGATAACTGACCTCACATGCTAAGTGCTTATGCACTGGCATTTCCCAGTTAACTAATCTTATCTTGCTTATTTCTTATTCTCCTTCTTTCAGTCACACACACAGGCTATATTATCAGAGCTCTCATAATATGATCAATCCATTAATCAAAACTGTATTTACAGGGCACTTTTCATATAAGAAATACACTTAAAGCAAGACTGTATAACTTATTGTGAACATTAGCTACTGTTGCCACAAGAGAGATGAAGCGCTCAAACAGCAGGGCCGTAATCATCTATTTCACAAGATGGGGGCGCCATTTTAGGGAGCCAGCAGATGATAGAGGAGCGCACAGGATAAATGCACACGCTGACCTTTTTATGAAATATACTTTGACATTTTTAATGACTTTTTTTAAAATGTTATACTAACACTTTACAAAAAGTTTAACAATCAACATTGATATGCCTTTATAGCACTCACTTTACATTTCTACTTTTTAATGCAATTGAATGGAAAAGAGAGACTGAATGTGTAAATAACGTGTCATATATTGTAGCATAGTTTGCTAACCTTAGCTACCAGTCATACCAGACCAAGTGAGGCTGTAGCAGCAGCGCCCCTGAGCGTAATGCGGAATTTATACTTCTGCGCTGACTCGATGTCGTGCACCTCCCCAGAAATGTAACTACATGTCGTGGTGACACAGACCTCCTGTCTATTTTAGTAAGCTGAA